CGTAAGTTCAGTCACAAGAAGGGATAACTATTTGCCTGCTCATGAATTTGCTTCTGTGTGGCTGCTAAATTGAGACACATCCTCCAGGGAGACACTATCTTGCAGCCAGATGAGTTTTCAGGACCCCCATAGCCTTCTGAGGAGCATTCTTGCTCCCACAGTAATATTTGCCTTCCCTTTCTCTTTAGTCCTCTTCCTATGAGGGATCCTGGTGGAGGGAGAGAGACAGTTTGGGCTGAGAGTCAGGCTCAGTGCTGCTACTTTGGTAAGGTTCTGTGCCAGTCGCACTGCCACACCAGGCCATGGTGGCTGAATCAGTAAAATGAGCACACCCTCTTTCCCATCTGTCACTACTATTTGTGTAATTTTCTGGTTGCACCAGCTTATGTGTTTCCTAGGCCCCCAACCCTTGGCGAACAGACAAACGTATCATCTTACAGCGCCCGCAGTTCCCCTTGTGTCCCATGTGCCACCTCCTTGTGTGGGGGGAGGTTTAGAGCCAGGAGCCAAGGAAGGAACAACTGTTCCTTCAGAGGTCAGCGCACATGAGGAGGAGCCAGAGGACTCAGGCATCGGGAATCCTATTTACATTTACAACACCAGAGGCCAGGACCATGTGAAAATATTAATGGCTTTGGGCTTCAGTCCCAAAACTACAAAACAACAAAAAAATGCCATTTGCTTAGAATTGAACTTTCAACTCTGGAACTATTCTGGAATCCTCCATTTATTTATATTCCTTTAATAGTGAAAATGAAAAAAAAATCTGCTGTGGAATTTTCTTTTTCTTGGGGAATGAGAAAGAAGCAGGAAACCCTTTTTATGTTCCCTTTAATATGAAAAAACATAGGAAAGATCATGGACTTTTACCTCAGTAAGTTCATCTATATGTAACAGGAAAAATACCATGCAGACAGATCTTTGTGGCATGAATCATCTCTTAGTATTTCCCACGGCTTTTCTTCTTAAACAATGAAAAGCCATTAGCATTCACCCTCGTTAGGCTCCCGCAGCTGTTTGCAACTTGATCGTCCCTTCTGTTAGAGCTTTGAGGGGCGCTGTCTTTGCCCTCCATCGGGGGCTCTGTGCCATCCTAGCCAACCACAGTACCTGAAAGGGAAGCTTGTCATGTGTTCTCTCCCTATTTATATAGAGATTAAAGGTACTCGTCCTGTAAGAGGAACCTTGGAATAGAGACAGTTTCACAGCTGTTCCCATAGATGAAGTGTTTCCACAGATGATCACTGAAGTTCCCAAATGTGCTTCAGATTTGCCCCGTTTCCCAAGGCAGGGTGTGCACGGTCCGAAGGCAGGATGAACCATGGTGCATGTGTCATTGTGGCCCTGGATGATGCTGCCTGGCCAGCAGCGCTGGGTGTGGTTGAGTCCTGCCTTTATTTTCCAGAGAAACTGGGATTTGTCCCCATGGCAAAAGGGTCACTGACAAGGTGCTTGGGGAGGAGGAGTTGTAGTGAACAGGAACCTTGGTGATGGCAGGAAGAGTAAGTCTGAGCTAGTGATGCCTTGGGAACATTTACTGAGCATCTCTGCAGTTGTTTTCTGCAGGGATTATAGCTGCAAGGAGCCCTCAGACATTCCTGGGAATGGAGGCTATGGGGAGAGCATGTCTTCCTGCATTCTCCCATGGCATGGTGAGTGGCTTGGGTATGTGATGTGGGATCGAGTGCCTTCAAAGAGGTTGGGTCTGATTCACTCAGGATTGAAGTGTACAGGATTGGGGAAAGAGTTGATTTTCTCAGTACTGTAGAGGAGACAAGGCCTAATTTTATCACTGGAGGCCAAGGACAGAAGCAGGACAAACTGGGTGAGGATCGACTTGGGTCTGCAGTTTAAGAAGTGTGCTGGATACACAACCAGCTTAGCTGTGGAGGTGAGCAAAATTCTGACACTAATCTGAAATAGCTTCTGTAGCACCTTTCAGGTTTTTGTGGGGGGATGGGGAGCTAAGTAAGACACTTTGTGCTTTGGGCTTTTATTTACATGTACACCAAGTATAGCTTGGAGAACAGTAAGAGACAAGGGTCCCCTGGATAGGACCACCTTCTGTAGAGGACTCCAGGTGACATCCAGTGTGGCGTTTTTGTTGTTGTTTTGTTTTGTTTTGTTTTGTTTTTGTACAAGGGATCAAACGTGGGTCCTTGCACTTGTGAGGCAGGCAGCGGAACCACTGAGCTAAATCCCCGGCCCTGGCATCCAGTGTGTACAGGGCTCAGCCTCTCTTTCTCACACCTCTGCACCAAACACACGCTGTGGTTAGAACAATTGCAGGTGACTGGCCTCATATCACATTGAAGAAATCTTTTTAACTTTTCAGGTTCCAGTGCTCAAGAGACACAGTAGGCTGTATGAGAAGTACTTTCGGCCAAGCCTGTGTGATGGGGGCTCAGAGTGGTTGGGAGGGTGGGAGAAAGGCACTGGAGAAGGAGACAGGATCAGAGGCATAGTGGGGAGGTCAGATTGTATATGACCATGTGGATCATGTGGATTATGGTATGGGCTTTGGCTTTTGTTCAGGTGGGAACTTATTGGAGGCTTTGGGTGGAGGAGTAACATGAATTGACTTGGCATCTGTAAGGACACCCTGTAGATGTGGGAAGAGTAAAGCAGGGGTCAGGGGGAAGCATGGATCCCACGTTGGAGGCTTTTGCAATAGCTCCAGCATGAGATATGAGTTGAAGCTTGAGCCAGAGTGGGTGGAGGAGGAAGTAGTGAGATATGGTCAGGTTGTGGAGCAGACAAGACTTGCTGAGGAAGTAGGTGAAGGATGTGAAGGAAATAAGGAAGAAGAGAAAAATACCAAGAGTTTTGCTATTTTGGCAAATGGATGTTTGAAAACTGGAAGGAATCAGATTTCTGTAGGTTCACAGAGTTTACAGAGTCACTTCAGCCATGCTAATGATCAAAATGAGATTCAGGAAGTGTAGGTGATAGTTTCTTTCTGGGCTCTGTTGCTCTACCACCCTGAGCCCTAGTGTCCTCTCCAACTAATGTGAAAGGTGCCTTGCTTTCTGCATGCTCTGTGGCCTAGATGGCTTCACACGGGGAGGCAACTAGACAGTTTAACATTTTGACAGCATTTACTACCAGTTTTAACCGAATGAAGTATAGCTCTGTGATGGAAGAAATTGCTCATAGGAGCTCAGCAGGACCAGGAAGGGCAGAGATCATCCTTACCTTGTCTCCCTATTTCTGCACCAACTAGAAAGCTTACAATATCATGACAATGAAGGCTTCTCAGTGGACTGTGACCCTTAGCTTTATAAGTGAGAGGTACCTGCAGTGAGACCATCCCTGCTTCCCTTGATAACCTTGGTAGAAATCAGGAAATTAGTGCTTATTTGAGCAGCCACTGGGTACAAGGACCCATGGCCTCCTCAAACTAAGACATTGCTTGGTTCTTTCCATGATACAGCAAAATTTCAGCTGTCTTTACTTTAAAGATCCTAAAGGAGCACGACTAAGTCATATATTTTTCTGCTAAAGAAACAGTTTCAGAACCTTTCAACCTTCGCTTGAGTGGACACTTACATATTTGATGTCAGTGAAATGATACTTTAAATAGTTCTTCAGAATCTGATGCTATTCTGGATATTGGATATATTCCACTTTTGAGGCAAAAATCCAGACGTTTCCCCCTCAGAACGGGCCCAGTCTCATCAGTTACTTTTGTGCTTGGCTTTTAGTAAGTTCACCTTCAGTTTCTGTCTTCATGTGATTTCTGCAGTGACTGCTGCTTTAATTTAAAAAGCTTCTAATGAGCGTCAATGTAGAAATGTGATGTCGGTGCCTTGCCCTGAATCCTGAAATCCTCATGCTCTTGGTTTCAGGGCTTCCTGTCCAAAAGCACTGGCTCTACCCTCCGGATCCTTGCGTGGCTTTGACTGTAGGCTCAGTGAGAGGAAGTGCCTGGGAATTTGTTCTCCTTGTCCTTCCAAGCGCTGAGCCCTGGCAACAGCTTTAGTAGTAGGAAAGCCTGGGGTTCTTGCCTCAGTGTGGGACAGCTGTGAGGGGAAACTGACATCCAGAGTCCCAGCTGGCTGGGGGTTTGGGGGGATGTGCCAGACGTAGGACCCTGGCTTGGCTTTCTGCACTGCCTTCACTGTTTTTCTTGCTCTCCTGCCTGGTCTCTACGAAGAGTTTGTCTTTAGTCATCAATTTGTGCACACAAATCTTCCTCTTGGGAATAGTTTAGGGGAAACTGACCTAAGAAAATACTTTATCACTGTTTCCCAAACTGAGCACCAAAGTAACCCAGGGCCGAGGAGAATGCTCAGGGGCACCATGGAATATTTTAAATCCCCCCGCCAAAAGTCGTTGTATTTATCATGTATCAGGTATATCACAAACTACTCCAGGTAGTTTATGATTTCAACATTAGGTTGCACATACTACTTTGATGGTGGCATATCCTTTTAAAGCTGGGTTTTTGGTGGCTGTAATAATAAAAGGCAAGCACTCCATGAAAGTCAGGCAGAAGAGGATATGAAAGTGGTGGGGGCTGATCTGATTCCAAGGTTTAAGAAGTTCTTTAGTACCTACAGGCGCACATGCCCTGTTAATTCGGGAATGTGGTTATTTATAGATAAAAAATTAAAATATTTTTCTTAATGTATCTGTATCATTTTTTCAAGTGGACATTAAAATGTTAGGGCTTCAGTTCTTACTGAGTTATACCTAACAAATCATTGGAAATTTTAGCTGTTTACTTTGATTTAGGGGGTGCCATGAAATGATTGAGTCACCCAAATAGTTTGGAGGCCTCTCTTTCCTGTGGGTAAAGGTGGTTTGTATGTGTATTGTATTAATGTGGGTCAAATGTGCCATCCAAGTAACAGTACAGGTTACAGATTAAAGTTGAAATAAACTGAATGCTTATCTTATTCCCTTATGTGTCCTTTATAGTCCCTCAAAGACATGCACTGTTTATGAACTGTCACACTGGCTTTTAAATATCACATTCTCTTTTGTTTTACTTTCAGGGAGTGGGTTAATCGAGCCCCATCTATTCATTTTCTGAGAGTGTTAATTTGTCTGAGGCTACTAATGAGGGATCCATGTTATCAGGTTGGTTGGAAAAATATTTTTTACTTGTTATAAAGATGCAAAAAAAAAAGATGGGCTTTTCTTTGATGTAAGTCATGTTAACTTCTCTCTCTCTCTCTCTCTCTCTCTCTCTCTCTCTCTCTCTCATAACTCAGTAGCTTCCAGATTTGGAGAGTATCTCACTTGCTATTTTTAAAAATTTGAAGAATTGATTTAATGGATACAATAAATTATGTATGCTTTTATTACATAGTTTATGAGGTTAAATGAATTGAACTTGGTCTGTGTTTGCCCTGCTACCTGGCATTTTAAACTATTAACACATGGCCACACCTTTGGGTGTGCCCAGGACCAGACAGCTCACAGAGTCAAAGTCAGCAGAATTAGGTGGGAGCCCCCTCATGTGGTGTCAGAAGCCGCCCTTGTGACAAGCAGGGCTACAGTGTTAGTGGCTGTTCTAGAGTCCATCCCCTTCCTGACCTCCAGACTGCAGCTCTCAGCTAGAGATGAGCAGGGGGCCTCCTTCCCATTTCTCTCAGAACAGGGTATTAAGGTCCAGAATCTCTTCCTTTTCTCACTATTTAGCTAAACATGCTGCCTCTCAAACTTTCCTGTGCACAAGAATCACCTGCAGATCTTGTACATGCGGATTCTGGCTCCATAGGTGTAAATTAAAGCCCAAAGTTCTTCATTCGTAACAAACTTCCCAGAGATGCTGAGTTTTCCAGAAATCTGTGGCTCACACTTTGAGTTGCAGACACTTATCACTTAAGTTGTGAGGCTCAGAAACTTAACACTTCACCTGACCAGAAAGTGATTGTTTCCAGTCCTAGCTGGTAGATAGCTGGTTTCATAAAGCAGCTGTTTTTCAACTTTATCATATATCAGAAACATCTGAAGAACTTAAATGATTGCTGTAGCTCTACCTCAGAGTCTCTGATTGGGTAGTTTGGTGGTAAGGTTGAATATATGTATTTTTCTAAGTTCCTAGGGGGTGATGAAACTGCTAGTCAGGGTACCACAGTCTGAGAGAGCCTCACGATTGCTTTTTAATCATTGTTTCTACTTTCCAGTGTTAAATATATCAAGAGTGCTTTCATGATACACATATTTCTATAGTTTTTACAGGTTTTTTTTCTTCCCTAAGATGAGGAAGTCATTAGGAAGCTCAGATCTTTGGTTGTGGATTCAATTTTTTTTTATAAATTCTTATTTAAGTCAGAATATGATTTCTTTCATCACCCCAGTAATTATCTTTCCTAACTATGTCACTTAAAAAAATGTTTTGGTACCAGCTATTCACCCTTAGGGGTGAGTGTGGTAGTTTATCCTCTTTTACAATGCAAGTCTTCAATGAATGTGTCTAGATTGTCCTCCATGTTGGTTCCTTGAAGACCTGCCCTGCCTAACTGCCTACAAGATATCTAATGAACTTGCCTATCTGCAATATCCCTCCCTCTGAAGAAGTTCCCCTAACTGCCGTGAGGGGCAAGAGGTGAAGACCATTCTGGCCACTTCCGGCTGAAGAAGGCTGTAGTAGGGATCAGCAGTCAGAGTGACTCCACAGAGGGCCTAGCTAAAGGCCCTCGATAGGCGCCAGGCACTGTCATCGTGGGTATGCATATAGCTTTGAGTCTAGAGGAGACAAAGCCAAAGAAACAGTTAAGAAGACATGGGCTGAATAGTAAGGTCAGCAGGATTGCTAAGAATGTAGCCAGCAAGCATTTCTACCAGCAGGAACTAGTAATAGCATCCCTCAAAGATCAGAAGGTCCAGAGGACTTCAGAAACCCACGTAGAAGTTGTATTGTAATTTAGCAGTTCTGTTAGCATCTCTTTTCTCCATGGCTAGCCACACAGATTAGTGTGTTCCATGCATGTCTGAGATGCTTTCTGCAATTCTGTGTGGTGTACACGTAGACTGTTTGTTCCATTTTCCCTGGATCAGTAGCAGTATGTGCTCATCACTCCCACCTCAGAAACAGTAGCACCCTCTTTTACCCTGTAACATGTCTCAGTTTAGAGGAAAACATGACATGTGTGATATTCATAAAAGTATTCAGGAAAGAAGATCCAGTTTCTGACTCACAAAAGTTAGCAAAATACTTACCTTAGCACAGTTTGTTTGTTAAGTACGTTGGTGATAATGGAGTCATAGTCTGCCGATCTCCTCTCTGAAGCACTGCTTTCCTTTATCTTGTCCTTGATGGGTTACAAGAGGGTTGGTTGTACTGCTCTGTAAAGGAAAGAATGCAGTGATCACTTTATGAGATTTTGCCAGCAAATACAAATTAAACTAGTCTCCCCAGTTGCCAGTCTTTCTTTCCATAGAAGGGGATCCTCTCTGAACCTCTCCTCCCTGGCATTCTTCCCACACAGAAGAACATGTGCTCAGGCAGTTTGTATAACATCTTCAGTTGCCAAGAACTGTTGGCTGAAGTCATAAAGCTATGCTGGGGTTTACTACAACTTATGGCTGTGGATTTCAGCAAGTTTTTGCTATTGCTACACATCCATTTGCTCTCTTAGGGAATCAGTAGTGTAGGGACTATAGTGGCCATTCCTAACCCATCTCCACTTCTCACACCCAAGCCCCCTCTTGCCCCGTCATTCTCATAAAATTATTTCATCATCAGTTTTATAGAAGCCTGAAGCCATCCCAGTGGGAACTCTCTTGTGCTCTCTTCTTTGTTCTTTGAAATAGTGGGATTATTTTGCAACCTTACTTCCTTCTTATTTCAGAAGTAATACTCATTTTCCTCGCCAAGTTTCCTCCTTCTACTTATTTTCTTTCTGGTGGTATCAGTGGCTCCCTTTCCGTTTTTTAAAATAAAAATATAATTTTCTTGTCCTGGCCATCCATTCAGGCCTTTTTCTTTCCTGCTTTTTTTACATTTCTTAAAACCTCAGCTCTGTCTCATGAATCTACTTTCTTTCTGTCAGGACTCACATATTTCATAACCGGCACACTGATCCCTACGTGCAGGGATCTCTCTAAGGCCACTTGACTCACATGCACTGTACTCTGCTTCAGTTCTCACTTCCTGATTTAGAGGCCCCACTTGATGGTTTGCAGACTGGACCTTTGCGGGTAGTACACAGAGGTTTCCGTCCATGTGTAACGGCCATTGTAACACTGTTGTTGAAGATATGACCACTTGGCATTTTTCAGAATGAATGGAAGATGTATGTACTCAGATTCTCAGGCACAGCTGGAGTCCCAAGCCTGGCAAATGTTCACCCATACCCAATACAATGAAGCCATAGCACATAGCTTTTCGCAAAGAAAAAGAACATCTGTAAATCTGCAAAACTTCGATTGCATTAGAAATAAAAGACAGTTGGACTAAGTAGATTTTTTTTGGTCTTGACATTTTCTAACCACTTTAGTGGAGATATCTTATCACATTTTCTCATTTTGCAAGCCTCAAGTTCTTACTTAGTATTTTGGGATGTGTTACTTAACTGCTCCTGTTTTAAATCTTGTCTCCCTATGTATTAATCTTCCTTTGCCTGTATCTTCGAAGATACCTCCTTCAGTTATCATTATTTTGTTCTTTGTTTACAAGGTCGTATTATTAGCCTCATGCTTTTCCAAATTCCCAGGGAGACGTTTCTGCCTCAGTGACACAGTAGCATAGCGATTCTCAAAGTGTGGCCTCTACACAGCTTACAGATCTTTAAGACCCTTTCGGGGTCTTACAAAGTCCAGCCTACCTCCCAAATAAAGCTAAGATGTTATCAGCCCTTTCCCCACCTTCCCTGTCCAAGGGTGCAGTGGGATTTTCAGAGGCTGCACAGTGTGTGATGATCTCAGGGCTCTGACTGCTCACGGGACATGTGCTTGAGCATTCTTGTGCTTTAAAATCTGCTTGCTTTTCATTTTAGTATGGTAAATATAAATAGATATAATTCATGAACACAATCTCTTTGGGGTTCTCAGTCATTGTTAAGAGCGTAAAAAGGTTCTGAGGAAAAGTTTGGGAAGCATTATTGTAGCATATTATACTCAGTAGCTTTTGAAACATGAAATTCTTCAGTTCTTTTTCTCATCCACGAACCTTCAGATACAGCTCCTCCTTTTAAATTAATTGTATAAATATAGTTTAGATATACCTAATAATCACATTCATCATAGAGAATTTGTACCTGTATACGATAATCTTGATTCTTCTTTTCCCCCAATCCTTTCCCCTCCCTTCAATCCCTCTCAGATACGATTCCTGATTCTTTCAACGGCATCATCTTTCCTTCAGATTCCAAAGCAGGAGACTTAAGAAACATCTCTCATTTTTCCTTTTTACTCATCCATCTACAAACCCAAGGTTTTGTGGAAGAACGTCTACTACTATCTTTAAAAAGAATAGTGAAGCCCAGTCCAGTGACCGGGTGAGAATGATAAAAATCAAGACCAGGGAATAAGTGGCATGGTTTAAAGGGAAGGGTGAAATGGTCATGTTAGCAACTCAGTGTTAAGGGTGCACTGCAGTGTGCTCACTGTTAATTGACTAGTTGCTGAGTAGGCTTAGGACAAGGGCACATCAGTGGAGATGACATTTTTCATTATGGTTAAATAGTGGTGAACAAGCAGTGCCCATACTGGTACAGTAAGATCTGTTTTGTGATTTTTTTTTTTAAAACCAGTATCATCTTATTGGATGGATTATTTATTTGTCTGTTTGAGCCAGGCTCTCACTATGTTGTTCAGGCTGACCTTGACCTCAGTATGTAGCCCAGGCTGGCCTCGAGCTCACTGCCATTCTATTCCCTCTTCCTATGGAGGACTGCGATCACAGGCTTATGTTCCCACTCCCTGCTTGGATTCTTTTTAATAAATGAAAAACTCAAGGAGTAAGCTGAGCCAGGGCCATGTGCACAATTCACTAGGGACTTTCTCCAGGTCAGCAGGCTCCAAAGTCTAGAAACCAATCTTTCTAGACCCTCTGGCCTGTGCATCTGAAAGGACACACAGGAGGCATTGCTGCCATCGAAACAGTCAGTCCTGTTTGCTTTTCTGATCAGTAACCAGCACTGTTAAGCCCAGGTGTATGCATATCTTGTAGTCATGGTTTTCTCTAGTTTACACTCTCAAGTTAGAGCAACTCATTGATACAGCCAAATGAAATACAAGGAAAACCATGAGTCCAGGAGCAGTCTGGATCCACTCTTCATAGGAACACTCAGGTTAAGTGTTCATTTCCTGGATGCAAATTATATTCTTGAGCACCCAACAATAAAATTTCTCCAAATGAGCCGGGTGTGGTGGCACATACCTGTAGTCCCAGCACTTGGCAGGCTGAGGGAGGAGGATCGCTGTGAGTTCGAGACCAGCCTGGGCTACATAGTGAGTTTCAGGTCAGTCTTAACTACATAGTGAGACCTTTCCTCAAAACACAACAAAGAAAACCAAAAAACAAAATTCTCCAAATGAGAAAGCCTCTTTCCTGTTCCTTTACCTCATAGCAGCACTTCTTCAACTGTGTTTTACAAGAGCACTAAGTTCTGGGAAAAGCAGTGTGCTTTGGTTAAGGGGATTTGGGAAAAGCTGCACCCTGGTTGTCTCCTTGGAGACTGAGAGTGGATCTCAGCATGCTCAAGGCTCAGAGGAGACCTGAGATAGAGAAGTTGTTAAAGTCTGATTGACCTAGCCTTTCCCCAGCTGGTGTGACCATAAAACTCATCTTTTTTGACTATTTCTAAGACATAGTTTAGAAAACCTTGACTTGGTCTTATTCCATGAATATTATTGGATGCATAAATATCTTGATGGTAAACACTTGAAAGTGACAATGAGCACGATTAATCATTGCAGCAAGCCTCCCTTGGTGACTTCCCACTCTTATGTTTCAAATATGAATTTCCTACATGTGAAAGACCTTAAATTTTAATCTTTCATCCTCACCTCCTTTCCATGCCCGGCTGTACTTTTTTTTTTTTACCTAGATATCCCATCACCACCTCAGTATGTGCAGCATTGCCTTTCCCCTCACCCAGCCCATCATCCTGTGTCTATGAATCACATCGTTGTCCCCAGGCTGACTTCTTCCGGCTCACTGGCTGCCTGACCATATCACTTAAGACAGCCCCTGCCTCTCCACGCTCATCTGCCCTGCCGCTGACTCCCCGTCAGGCTCCCCATTGACATTACCCCATCCACTTCATTTTAAGACTAGAGGGAAGGCCCATACAGCTGGTTCTGGATGGTTTTTGCTTACACAATTTCACTGGGTCTCATGGTCTTCTGGAAAAGGTTGGAATCGAGGCTCTTATCTAACTACTTGCACAGTTTTATCCCACTCTAATTTTCTAACATACTCCTCAGTTCCATTCATGGAGTTACAAAACTGCTTATTTCAGAGAGAAGGGGCATCTTGATGTTTTCCTATACAACTTCCGTGCACTTTTAAGCCTACTTTCTCTTTGCTTGCAGTCTCCTTAATTTTTACCTCATCCCTCATCTTTATTTAACAAGTCTTTCTGTTCTCCCAATCTCAACTCCACCACGCTCAGGAGGAGGTGATGTATTCCCCCCTCTAGGGCGTCATCATGCTTCCTGCCTAGGTTTCTTGTAACTTCTTCTTATTTGTGTATCACCTTCATGCTTGCCTCAAGTTTAGCGACACAGGTCCCTGTCCTCTACATGCTTGTGTCCTTACCAGACCTAACCCAGGGCTTTACATAACAGGAATGAAAAAAGGTATTGAATAAATATACATGGTCTTAAATGCTATTTTTATTTGAAATGACATCACTCAAAGGTATGCTGTGCCATCACTAGAGATAACGTGTGCACTGTCCTTATGTCCTTTAATTATAACTTTCATGGAGTGAATGGTGTTGATGAGGCTTCAAATTAGCACACAGTCACGGACCTATTTTTGATTGAGCTACACATGTTCCTTTAAGCTTAATTTAAACATGCGTATGTTCAGTGCTTCCAGATTCACTTTACACAGTGTAAGGAAACATGGGCCTTAAGAAGCCTTGAAAACCTGTGGCGTTTCCCCAGTTTGCACCCACAGTGGAACAAAGTGTTTTCCTTCATACTTGTGCATTTTGCAGAACTGAAATCGTGGTTAATGTTTACATTTAAAATAACTTCCTTTTGTACATGTTATGTAAGAAGAAAGCTACCGGTTTCATTAAGTGGGTTAGGGCCACTAGCAAACACGTTTGCCCGCAGGTAGATGCCAGTGTGGAGAACACAAGCACAGATACTTGCTTACCGTCCCCTTCACAACTCCAAAGTCCAGTGTGTCCTTTTCCCTGGTTAGCACTTTAATGGCAGTTTCAGAAATTTACTTGGGCTGGGGATTTAACTCAGTAGCACCTTACCTACCTCACAAGTGCAAGGTCCTGAGTTTGATTCCCAGAACCCCCCGCTAAAAAAAAGTCACCCACTGGGGGAGTCGGATGAAAAGCTCCATATCAGAAGGTGTTGTGGGAAGACTATCCTCATATTTGATCAGAGTATGGGTTTCACAAGACCATTAGCCTACTAACTGTAAGAGGCCCCGTATTCTATTAGAGTAGTTCTTCTAAAAGTTTACTGTGTGTGCAAATGAACTGGGAACCTTGCTGAAGTTCAGAGTGTGACTGAGCGGCCTGAGTGGGTAGGAGAGGGTGGTGAGGGTCTGACTAGGATGCTGCCCCTTCATGGGCCACACCTGGTAGAGACCAAGAAAAAGGTCGTGGGAGGTGGATGATGTCCTATGCATGACCTTTCTGCATGACCCTTCATTTTTCTCAAGTGTGATATGACAAGGTTGGATGAAATAGTTTCTAACACCTCTTCCCAATCTAACACTTAACAACAGGAGGAAGAACAAAGAATCAGGATACAGGCTGCATTTCTAAGCACATATTCATTGTCTTCATCTCAATCTGGCTTTCCTATTTAACAGTTTACCCTAAATGCCGTGTAAATGACAACCTTGACAACTTCCATACTTATGTTAGAACGTAGAACTTCAGGAGGTAGTCATAAATCTCTGACCTAGCACCAGAAGTTGCATGTGAGACCTGCGTCCTCTCCTCCCTCATCCTTTACCTATATTCCGTTGTTTTTATTTTCCTAGGAAATTCTCCATAATTTGGGTGGGATTGAGAACCTGGCTCAGGTAAGATCTGTTTTGTGGTGGCTGGGCTGCCTCTTCTTTCTGTGCTGGGACCGGGGCAAGGGTGGAATAAGTGCGGGGCACGAAACGACTTTCTCACGTGCTGCTTCCCCAGGCCGGGTGGTGGTGAGGGGATAAGTACGGGCCCGAAGCATGACACTCGCGGAGCGGGGAGGAACCCATCACATTTTGTTCTGGGTAATTGGGCACATTTCCCTCAGCCTTTCGAAGCTAAAATGTCCTATAAAAGTCCTATGTCTGTGGTCAGTAAAGACGAGGAGTAGGCATTGGCTGGCAGTCCTCAGAACTCTACCTTCCACATGGTGGGAGAAAATGTTATGAAGATGGTTAAAGCATGTTTCAAATAGAATTAATTACCGTGCTATTAAAATATTAATAAACACACGAAGTAAGGAATGATCTTAGCTTCTTTAGTTTTCTGACGGAGGGTACCTAGATGGAGATCGATTGATCATCTGTCTATCTATCTATCCGTCTATCATCTATCTTTCTCCTGAGCAACGCAATGATTTGGGTTAATACAATAATACGCGTTGCTGTGTTGTAACCGCTCACTGTCTAACACCCATAGTGTGTACACGAAGAATGACCTGTGCAGCAAACCTGAGATGCTCAAACTCATTCTGAGTTACTAATGGGAAGCTTGAGTTGAATGACAGGTCAATGTTAAATCTATTTTATCCTCTTTCCCGAGAATGGATTCATTTCTAAATTTTGTTTTTAAGAACCGTAACCGACAGGAGGCTGACCTCATTTAATGAGGCCCTATTTTGTAAGATGATGTTGTAAACTTTCTTCTTGTCCACTTTAACTTCTGTTACAGTGTCAGAAATTCTATGGGGTTTTTCTAACCTATTTCTTATTATAATCAGTTATCGACAGTGAGGAATTATAATGACTTCATTTTATTCTTACTGATACCTGACTTTACGCTGGTTAGGCATAATTTTGGATATTATACAACATAAGATTAAGAAAGTATTTGCAATATGTTATGAAAACTCTACAAAAACATACATTGAAGAGTTAAACTTCTGTACCATGTATTGTATATTTTGTATTTAGCTATTAAATTGCACCACAGACTTACTCAGTTACAATTCCTTTGGGGACTTTAGAGAGTTTATACAACTTTTACACGGTCCGCACTTCAATTTCAGGCCACCCCTAACCTGCTGCCCCGAGTGCTACAAACCCAGGAGCAAGGAGTAGTAATTGGTGAACCTGTTGTGCCACCTAGAGGTCATTTTAAGAATGACACCACCCCACCTTATACCTTATCTACTTGGGGATTTTGGCGTCTCTCCTTTCTAATTGGCTTGTTGGTTGGTTCTTCCTGCAGTACATGGAGATTGTGACCAACGAGTATCTTGGCTATGGAGAAGAGCAGCACAGCGTGGACAAGCTGGTCAACATGACGTGTAAGTGTGGTCTCAGGGTCCAGACCTACTTTGGGATTTGGTCGAATAAACAGTATGGTGTTCACAGTAAGAGAGAACGTCGTGAACGCTTATGAATGTTTCCATTCTCATTGGGGTGTTGAGAATTTGTACCGGTTGCAATAAGCTGGGACAAAACACACAGAGATACTTTCAGATTCCAGCTCTTACTTTGGAAAGGTTGATTTATTTCACATAAAAAAGGCTTACATGAAAGCAAATTTGGTTTGGGAGAAATATTTTGTCTCTTTTGTTTCTGTTAAAGTATCAGAGACTCCATTTCACCTATAGTGTTTGGTTAACAGTAATACCTACCTTATAGAATTTGGAATGTAAAAAAAAAAAATTATCAGAGTATGTGAAAAGAAAACGGAAGCCAGGCGTGGTGGCTCTCACCTGTAATCCTAGCACTCTGGGAGGCTGAGGCAGGAGGATGGCAGGGTTGAGCCCAGCCTGAACAAATTAGAAAGATTCTCTCCAAATTTTTTCTTTAGAAATTAAAATAATGAAAAGAGAAAGAAAGTCTCATGTGAAGACGGGGACAAGCAAACACTGGTTCTGTGTGTGAGGTACTCCCTGTATACTTGGTGTTTTCTCTTGGGGTCCTCTGCTCCCTCACCCAGGTGGGCTGCAGACATCCTGCGGTGTCGGGATGTCAGCCAGCGGACTTCTCGCCTGTGTTTATTTGCAGGGAGGCGCACTAGCACCCCATTTCTCAGGTGCTGGGTCAGGAGTCTGTGACAGACCCCAGGCACCAGGCTGTTTTCTTTGAGGACGGCTGTTTTGTGCTGGCTACATAACCTTGCCACATTCATCCCATTTGCTGGTTTCCCCTCTCCTCTTCCTAAATTGAAATCTCTCTAAAGAGGGTCTCTGAAGATCAGACCTTGCTTTGAACTTGTAACGAAGTCAAGGGACTTGTTCAGCTTTTAATGGAAGGAGAGGTTTGCTGTTTCTGATATGTCCATATTTCCACATCACAGTAATATTTTAAAATCAGGGTCAGTTGAACTTGAGGGGTACGAAGTGGCCCTGCCCTCCTCCCTGCATTGCTCCTGCTGTGGGTCTGTGTTTCCCTTTTGCCCTTTCTTTGGCCAGTCGGTATTGCAGACCCCAGCTTCTATGAGTACTGCTTTCTTTAAGCTCCCCACGTCCTCCTCCCTCTACAGATATTTTTCAAAAACTTGCTGCCGTCAGAGACCAAAGAGAATGGGTCACCACCAGTGGAGCCCACAAGGTGAGTTGGCCCCGAGCGAGCGAGTGCCCCAGCTGCTCATCCCTGTCCAGAGCCTTGAGGGCCACGCTGCTGACTCACAGACCTGCTGAACTGGCCTAAAGTTGTGACTCTCTATCAACCCGTTTATATTCTTCACCAGCCTAGGGAGTCAGTATGGATAAGGACATAAAGGTTTTTTTTTCTTTTTTTTTGCTCTATGGCACGTAATATGAACTGAGTTCATTGTTTAATTTAAATGTTGCTCAAAAAACTTTGGCAATATATCAATTGACCCTAGGGGTGTGTTTATACATAAATAAAGGTTAAGCAACAGATAAAAGGTGTACATGTGCACGTAGAAATAAATTCCATATGTCATATGGGTTGTGTTAGATTGAACCACATGAAACTGCCATTTTTTGTATCTCAAAATTGGTTCAATGTAGGCAACCTCAGTGATAAGATGGCATTGTATTACGTAATAAGATGGCATAGTATATGGATCAAATATGTATCTCAGCATGGATGAATGCAGGTTTAATCAAAACAGATTAGACTTGCGTTACAGTAAAACTGTTTAGATGGTTGCTCTTTCTATTATGTCCATATTTCCATATCACAATAACCAGCTAAGTACTCATGTCATAGAAAGTGACTGGCGGTGTACATCAGAGCTTGTTTGCCTGTAGTACAACACATTCTGCCTATGATCTAGAGCAGTGGTGGTGAATTTAAGGCACCCATGCTGCAGCAGGCTCGGTGTATCATTGAACGCTCTAAAAGGTTCGCCATCAACGGTCTAGGGGATGATCATACAAAACTTTATTAGCATTACATTCTTAAATTAGCATTGCTAAGTGGATGTAGCAAAAAGTATGAAAATGGTGTGTCTGGAATTGAAGTTTGGGAAGTACGTTGGAAGACGGAGAAAAGAAAAGTGAGAGAAAAAAGAGGAAGGGATAAGAAAAGTAGCAACTTTTTAACTTCATTAAAAAAAAACAAGTCATAAAGGGAGGAAACAAATCATAAAGGGAGGAAACTTACATAATGGGAATCAAAAACATCATTCTGAAGTTACTGCACAAATTTCGCCTCTGACCTAGAATCTGTTTGGGGTTGGTACTTGTTTTGCTCGTATTCTGAAATGGTGTGTAGAAAAAAAGAGATTTGCATTGCTGAGATTTTGGGGAAAGGTGACTAACAAAACAGAAAATGTCCAGCTGAGTCATGTCACTTGGGAGGATGCTTAAGAGCAGCAGTGATGCCCTTTTAACAGTAAATAGAACACTCTGCAGTGCTAACACCTCTTGTTTGGTTTGCAAGAAAAATGTAAGCTTCAACTTTCATAACTGAGGAAGTGCTTAGTACAATGCCTGGCTCGGAGTGCGTTCTTCATGTCCAGTCACTAACACCTATGCTGTTAGTCTCCACCCCCGGGAGGGCATCAGAAGTGCTGAGCAAAATGCTTGGGTACAAGAAAATAAAGGGGAGTGTGGGGTCTGGCTGGCCCCACATGATTTGGCCCCTTCCGCTTTCCTGTGTGGGCGAGGAATGGCTCCAAAGAGCTGCTCCCAAGAGTTCTGAGTAGGGAGGAAAAGGGCACCTGTTCTCTGGAGAACTGGATGTGCTTTTGGATGTTTATCCAAATTTCTTTAAAGGTTAAGCTTCTACACAGACTACAGAATAAAAAGTAAAAGAACCTCTATAAGGCTTGATATAAGAGAATGGCATTTTCATTATTCTCAAAGCTATAATATAATACATAATTTGATTCCATTTATAAAAATTTTTTTATTAGTCTATGTTGGCAACACATAATAATTACATTCATCTCGGGGGACTGGTCCATATACATATCATACCCCGATCATTTTTACTCCTCTTTCTCCCCATTCTACCTTCTCCCTCCTTCCCCAGATCCCTTCCCATCTTTAATATAAGAAATAATTTTATTCTATTTAATAAAAATTATAGAGAAACACTTGATGTCGTGAAGAAATTTTAGTGGCTAACATTCGGAAGAAAACAAATGAGCTGCTATAAAATTGTATGGGCAGTTTCTTCTTAATTATACATGTACACACATTTTTAAAAATAAGCAAAAAATCCTAAAAGGCTAAGCCTCTCCATTTAGAAGGAAGAATTATACCATTAAAGGAGATTGTAGTACTCACATAATTGAAATTTCCCCCCCATTTTTCAGACACTAGTAAATTTACTCAGTGCACGAGACACTAACGTCCTATTGGGCGCCCTTCTGGCCCTGGCCAGCTTAGCAGAAAGGTAAGTATATTTAAATATATTTCACAGCTCTGCTGCCATAGCAATTTAGATGGGGGGATGAAATGTAGACCAGTTGCTTTGTCACCTCCTCAGTTAAAATTTTCAGAAAAATAAGCATAAGTTAACCTGTCAAAGAGGATCTAGAGTGGAAAGTATCATTTTCAACTTCTGTCAGAAAGGCAACATTTTCCTTTGCTGATTTAAGATATTTTCCATGTCTTTTCATCTAACCTCAGTTACCGCTGCTTTCAATATTGCCATAATATTTCTTTGCCAGTGAAATCTCCCTGACCGTCCTTCCTCATTCTTAGCTGGGTATTCATTTTAACTTGCAGAACATTTTCAAACATCTTTGACCTTAAAAATGGCTTTAGAAAACTCCTTCTTCCCTAGGTACCATTATTTTAAACAGAAATGCTCTAAATGTATTTTTATTTATTTATTTATTTTTGGTACTGGGGATGAAACTCAGGACCTTGTGCTTGCGAGGCAGGTGCATTTCCATTGAGCTAAATCCCAGCACTAAATGTATTTCTATGCTGATAAGTAGATCATTGTTTTTTTGTTTGTTTTTTGTGAACAGCATGTAATAAATTTTGGGGGGTTATCTCTCCTCCAATATGAAAGCTAAGATATTAATGTAGTAAAATATGTTTTTAATGCTTACTAATATTTTAAAATCTGTAGTCCAGAATGTAGGGAGAAGATAAGTGAACTCAACATTGTAGAAAATCTATTGATGATTTTACATGAATATGACTTGCTTTCCAAAAGGTAGGGTTGCTAAAGATATTATCTTATGCTTGATGCAAATGCTTAGTAGTTTTATAATGTTATATTATTTACAATGTTAACTGAGTATCATGAGTTAGCTTGGCAGTTATTTTCTGTTTAAATTTATAGAAAGAAACTAGTGCCAAGAAGTCTGCTGATTTATTTTTTCCTTCATTACTTGTAGATCTGTGCATAGAATACAATTACATAATCTTATGATTAATTCTATACTTCTGCTTAATGTGTATTTAGTGTATTTACATACTTTTTATGAGCAAGAAACTCAAAGGTCATCCTTATACTTCTAGGCTAAGTGTGGACTAAATGATTAGGTTGCTGAATCCATTTTACATAAGGCAAGTAAGAAACTGACTGACTTGTTTTGTGATCACTTGTCACTTAGGACAGTATCTTGAGTAAAATGGGTTGTTTCTTTTTTTTGTTTTTGTTTTGTTTTGTTTTTTTGGTACCAGGGATCAAACTCCGTTCCTTGTGCTTGTGAGCCAGGCAGCGGAACCACTGAGCTAAATCCCCGGCCTTGGGCTGTTTCTACTTGAGCTGCATATTGTTTGGAGGATTACTATAGCCAGATAATTATTTGGATATATTTAAATAGGGCTGCAATCTACAACATTTGCTATCTAGTTGAGTCATAATTTTCTAAAGATCCAAGATAGATACCAAAAATCCCGTGCAATGAAATCTTGAAACTGAATCCATAGTAATTTTTCAGATTCTTCTTTAAAGCTGACTTAATGTTCTTTGTCAAGAGCATTAGCTTTGGACAAGGGGCTATATATTTACATAATTGGTTATCTGTACTTACTCACCAATAAAAGGGGTCACACACTGTCACAGGTATTAGAAAATCAAAGAGGAATAGCATACAAAAGTGCAGGGTAAGGGTGGGGACAGATGGACAGATCACAGATTTCGTAGTAGTGCTGCAGGTAAATGGACACAGGGGTCCCTGGGAACATGGAGCAGAGACCTCCTGGTGAGTGAACGTTCATGCCTGATTTTCTAAAGGACAGAGGCTGAATCTAGGCAGAGCAAGAGAGCAAATGGAAACAGAAGGCATTCCAATCCAGAGGTGTGAGAGGAATGTGCATGTTGGGGTATAGCTGGAGTGAAAGAGGAAAAGTACCAAAATGCTAAGACAGATAGTCAATAATAAATAAAATTTGTAGCTAATGTTTGATCAGTGTTATGTATATGTCAGACCATGCTCCAAGAACTTTTGAGTGTCTGCTCATTTGATCTACACAATCACTATTATTTTCCATGTTATAAAGATGAACCAACAGGGCATGTTTGTCGAGATATGATGGGATTCATGTGTGAAATAAAGATTCAGCTGTTAATATGAGCGTTCTGGGGACTGCCAGAAAGATACTAAGCATGATCGCATTCATTTTTGAAAGGTTATTCTGCTAACTGTGTATGTGGAGATGGGGTAGACGGTGGGAGGTATGCACCCATTGAGATCCCCTGTTAGCATGGAGAGAATCTTGGGTGGAGAAAGTTTGAGAAGGCAAAGAGTTCCTGTTTGCCAAAGAACACATGCTTTTAATGTTACAGCACAAAAAGTTGAGTACGGGAGGAACTTGGAAAATTGGTTCAGGAAAAGGGATTAGAAAACAGTATGGGAAGGAAGACGCTGGAGAGGTGGATAACAGAGGACATATGATCAAGAATCACAAGGACAGGAGGAGCAGTGGGGTTAGTTAGTTATATGTTTTTCAGGAGAATCCCTCTCCATAGTTGCCCAGGAAATACGAGACACAAAGGGCTCTTGATTGGCACTGGCAGGGTGGTGAAGGAAGTGTCTTGTGTGACGCTCAGTCTTCCGGCTTGGAAAATTGAAAAGGTTGTGGTGCCACGAGTCCAGTTGGTTATGAGAGAAAGCACGTATTTGAAGAGGAGGATAATGTTGAATTTAGACATAATACGTGTGAGTTCTATAACTTCGGAAGGTTATGAGCAATGCCTGGACTAGGTCATGATGCCAAGGGATGGGAGGTGTTTGTAACCATGGGAATGGACGACACTGTCCTGGGACAGCATATAAAGTGTGAGATGGAAGGACAGAGTTCATTCCATGCAACCTCTGCCATCATAATATTTCATGGCTCAGCTGAGCTTGGTATCTTTACCACTGTTTTTTATTTTATTCTCCAGATACCACTGAGGACTTTATATGTCATTTCCCCACATTATAGAGGTTTTTTTTTTCTACATTTTCTTTGACTTTCTTATTTTGTAACCACTCACTGTTCCATTCATTCATACACACACACACACACACACACACACACACACACACACACACATGTTTTACTTTTAGCACATACAAGTCACACTGCTTGTGATCATTACCTATTTGCTGGTCAGTAGCTTGAAGTGAGGTCAGCAAACTACACCCCATAGGCTACATGTGGCCCACTGTTTGTTTTGTAAATAAAGATTTATTGTAATGCCTCATGCCCCTTAATTCTTATGTATTGTCTGTGCTGTTTTCACACCATCTCAGCATAGCTAAATAGTTATGATGAACAGTGTATGGCCAGCAGTGCTGAAACTATTTGACTTTGGTCTGTGGTCACATCGGGTCATTGCAGTGTTGACTGACAGTTTGAGGAATGCTAGAGTCATATTCTGTGCAGTCGTGGTAGCTCTAGCATAGATGTGACAGCATTAACTCCTGGCACCCCCTGCTGCCCTCCAGACTGACCGCAGAGCTGTTGCGCCTCCTCTGTGCCGAGCCCCAGGTGAAGGAGCAGGTGAAGCTCTATGAGGGGATCCCCGTCCTCCTCAGCCTGCTGCACTCAGACCACCTGAAGCTGCTCTGGAGCGTCGTCTGGATTCTGGTCCAGGTGTGCGAGGACCCGGAGACCAGCGTGGAAATCCGCATCTGGGGAGGCATCAAGCAGCTGCTTCATATTCTGCGAGGGTGAGCGTGGGCTCCAGCTGGCTTTGTTGTCATGGTCAAAGGCTGACCGCCACACACACAAGCACACAAAGAATTGCGTTCTAAGCTAGAAGTATAGGGAAGGGATGGATTGGAATAGTTTCAAGTTGAAACTCTCTTGGTGTATGTTGCAGGGTCATTAGTCATTAGTATGTCTCATGAACCAAATATGTGTAGGTATTAAATGATAATGTTTTTGATACTTCCGTGAGATAATGCTATCACCTAATATCATAAAACATTATTGAGCCTTGTGGGTGCTAAATTAAAGTTAAACATGAACACATCCGCTTAAAAGAGATCACATTTCAGATCTGCAGTGCATAAATGAAGCCGATCCTAATAAAAGCAGAGTGACATCAATTTTAATATAGCTAGATATTATCCAATCAAAACTATTAGAACTTTGTACATGTTATTCCTTTAGGGATATTGTGGAACTTTGTATCACAAACTTCATTTTCACTGAGAGAACATTCCAAAGCATAGGAACAGACGGCAGAAGCATGAGCTTTGTAACGATTTCTGTCAGTACCAAAACAAAGGCAAAAAATTACAGACCATTGACAATCTACTTGCTTTTATGAACATCACATACAAACCTCAATTATTTTATATTGTAAATCTTTCAAAAGTATCACAACATAAAAATCTAGCCCTTCAGTCAAAATAGTTAGCAATTGCCAAAGACTATTTTGTTTCTGTTTATAGGATGAAGATGATGATGATGATTGTGGTTATTATTATTTATTATTGGTTAATCATACCTTTTACAACAGTTGTTTTGCCCTCTTAGAATGTAGCAATTTTCTTAATGAAAACTGAATTTACACATAATGCTTTTAAAGCAAAACTTTTTTCTTAAGTAGAGCTGAGTCTAAGATAAAGCATCATTTTCCTTATTTGCTCAAGTGCTAACTATCCTTGCTAGAAAAGAGCTCTTTCCTGCTTAAACAGTCATTTTCCAACCCACTTCATTGGAGTAATGTGTAGAAAACTCTTCCCTGGGAAGATGATCTATGTCAACTCGTATTCTGTGCTAAATGTGCCTTGCTTTGCTGGGAGAATCTATTACCCCACCTGGATAATTAATGCCCTTTCAGAGCTTGTGCCTGCCCTGGGGCTGCCTGGAGCTGGGACTAGAGGACGAGGCTGAGGCTGGGAGGTGTCTGGTGGCTTGAGTGGGAACAGGCATTGTTATTAGGACACGTCTCGGGAGACCTATTCGTGCACATTCACCTTAATATTAAAGGTGTGCTCTTGATCAGATGGAGCAATCCCTACAGTTTGAATTTTAAGGGACTTCTGTTGTCTCATAGGATCACCAGTTGTAATTGTCTTGGGATCCAGTCCCACTGTCTTTCCCATCCCCACTTAAAGAAGGACACAAGTTCACCGGCACGTCTTGTAAGGGAAGTCATGTGAGCACATAGAGATCCAGATAGAACTGCTGCTGCAAACAATCAATGAATAAAAATACAGTAACCATGTAAAATAAAGGAAACAAAGCAAGCAGAGGACACATAACAAATCTGTTGTGCACTAAAATAGAGAAACATGTGCTTTATTTCAACAAAGAAATTAAACAGGTCATGAAAGGAAAGGAAAGAAGACAGGACAGAGTAGCACCCTCAGAACTAACAAATTAACTAGTGCAGCAGAAGAAAACTGGATGTAGTACGATGGAGGGCAAGCTTAGGAAAGTGGTGCATATTACAGAGGAAAAAGACCAGGGAATAAAAACAATTAGAACATTAAAGAAATGGGGTTTCAACATGTGGGTAATTGAGAGCCCTGAAGTAGGGAGTACAATAGAATTTTCCTAAAATAAAGGAGGAATTTCACTGGAAAAAGAAAATTTAGAATAATCATGACAGAGATATTTGCAATGGAGGTGATTGTAGCAGAATAGAATTCCAGAAAAAGGTCGCCTATGAGCAGTGGGGAAAGCACAGTCTATCCAACCAATGGTACGGCATCATCTCAGCTACAGGAGGGCGGGGAAGAAAAGAGGAAAGGAAGGAGCGAAGAAGGGAGCGGGGAGGGACACAAATCAGTTCTATGTGAATTATAGCACAAAACAGTAATGATAGCACAGAAGAAGACTTCATGGCCTGTTGAAACATGACACGGAAAGGACTGACCATGAAGGAAAACTGATAGGTGGTTTGTGTGCTAACTTTTCAGAGATAGAAATTTTGTTTCTGACCGTTCCTCCATTGGAAGCCTGTCTAGTGCGAATGCAGCAGGCCGAATCCAGCAGCTTCATTTGTCAGAAGATCTCAGTCCTCATGAAATACAAGAAAACACTTTCTCTCTTCAAGCAGGTATGCATGTCATATCATTGCGTTTCATTATCTGATACTGTATACTTTGTTTTATCGTATTGCTATTTATTGCTATGAAATTATTATGATAGTGTTAATTAGACACAGTTTATAAGATCATGAACGTATCCAATTAAATCCACGTGGATGCCAGCAACGTCTTGGTGCTGCTGTTGGGCTGGCAGGTTCATGATACAATAAATTTTCCACTTCCTTCCAAGCTCTTAACTTACTGACAAACAAATGTAAAAATTAAAGATAAAGAAAGAGAGTATTAGCTTTATTATTGCAAAAGCTGGATTTGAGAATGCAGCTTGATCTGTGTCCAGAATCGTGCTTCCTGTAGTTTTCTAGATTTTGGGAAACGCTACTCCAAGGAGAAGTCAGAGGAAGATCCATCCCAGGGCAGGATTTTCACACCAAAGCCAGTGTAGCCGTGCGAGGGTACAATTCTTGGCAGATTTACCATGAACACTTGTGCAGTCCATGCTCTTCATAGGAGCAGCTGGTCTTTGAGCCGAGTGGGCCCACAGGGCTGCCTTGGAGCTGCCAGCCGTGCAGGAGGGGAGGAGAAAGGTACAGTGTGTGCTAGAAGTAAACTGGGAAGGTGCTAAGAGGGGAAGGGCACATGGGGCAGAGGGAAGGTATGAGCGGCAGTAGGGTAGGAGTAGGCAGGCTTTATTTATTCCTTCCTACCTCCTCCTGGAAATGGGCAAGGTGTTTCTTCATAGACACGAAAGACATAAAACTCAGATCCTACTTTTCATTGACCATTTCTGCTCTCCCTGAAAGGTTTCTGTTTCACTCCTGGGCTCAAGCTGGGGGTTTCCTGTGTGGAGCTTCTCCCAGAAATCCGATCCAGTTGGACCTCAGAGCTCTTAGTATTTTGGGGGGAATCTCCAAAGAGTGAATCAAATCAAGGGGGATGGAAGCCTGAAGAGTGGTTACCTGCGCGTGGGGTTATAAGAAGGTTAATGCCTCGGGAGGGGAATAAGATGGGCTTGCTGACTTTACAAGGCTTATTTTATACTTAAATACAAAAAGCAAAACAAATGCAATTAAAAAAACATAAGGGATTTGAAGAGTCTGAGTTTTTACTATACTTGCTTTAATGCCCATATGGCTCTTTGAAATTGTCTTGACCTCTCTAAGATTTAGTCTTGCTCATGTGAAATGGTGTCGGTAATCATGGCACTAGCACTAGGCGGTTATGGTGAGAATGAAAGAAGGGCGTACGAAAAGTCGTTAGCGGAGTGGAGCTAGATCAGTGTCCAGGACCCAGTGCAGCGATAGTATCCTCTATGGAGTGCTGCATGCCACTGGGAGGACAGGGTTCTCCATGCAGAATGCCACGGCGGCTGCAAGGAGGCAGGAGACTTGGGATTTACTGTCCCGCCAGCTGGGGCTGGACTGCCGGCCCTTCGCACTTACTAGTTGTGTATCTGAGCTTATTAACCTCTTTGAACCCATGTTCTCATCAGCAGAACCGGTAACTGTAGTACATTCCTGATGATCAGAATTAATTCAGACAGTGTATTTAAAGGACGCACTCATTTGCCAGGCATTGTTGATAGATTTATTGAGATCCGTTAGTTAGTTCCAGGCTCATGTTGACCACTGGGGATTACACGAGCTAGACAAATGCAGACTCTACCTTTGTGAGTATAGTAGGTGTTCAGTAAAAGTCGCCGTGGATGGTCACGCACATGAAGTGCAACAGGAGTGAGCCAGAAGCCATGAAAAGCCAGCTCCCTCTTTCCAGACTGTGCCAGAAGGAAAATCAGTGTCTCTTGAGTGACTGCTGATAGCGTTTCCTGAGAGGCAGGCACTGATAAAACCCTGAGGCGGGAGTGTGTGCACGCAGTGATGACTCTGATGATGCTCTCTTTCCAGCCTGCTGTGCAGCCCTCACCGAGCTGGTGCTCAACGACACCAACGCCCACCAGGTGGTCCAGGTGAGCACCCGGGCCTTAGGCTGGTGTCATCTCCACCTGTTGTGACCAAGCAGCCTTCAGGTGCAGCTTGCATCCTAGAGCACAGGTTTTGGGAACCTATCATGCAGTTTTTAAATATTTTAACATTTCTGCCGGGTGTGGTGGTGCATGCCTGTAGTCCCAGCACTTTGGAGGCTGAGGCAGGAGGATCACTGTGAGTTCGAGACCAGCCTGGGCTACATAGTGAGTTCCAGGACAGTCTCAACTACATAGTGAGACCCTGTCTCAAAAAACCAAAAAAATAAAATAAAATAAAATAAATATTTTAACATTTCTTACTTATGTACAGAGCACTAGCTCATATTCCTGTCCTTCTTTCTTTACTCACTTGTGACTTGCAGTGAGCTTATGTTGATGCTTCTTTCCCACATTGAGTACAGACCTTTTCATTTTCTTTGTCTTTTGTTATTGTTGTTCTGAACTGCTTTAATCCTGGGCACAGGGGGACACTATGAGTTGAGGAGAACAATCGTTTTATCTAAGACTATATTAGGTTACTCAGTTAGAAGTGATACAGATACGCTAAACAAAAATATTTATTGCCAAGAGGCTGATTTCACAAAGTGTAACTCGTTGTTTATGTATGAAATAAAGAGAGAAAGACTCAGCAAGAACAGGCTTTTTTGGAGATAAAGACCTGAGAGGAGTCACTGGCTTGGAAATGCCAGGGGCAGCAGCTCTCTTAGGGAGTAAGGAGTCCGCGTAGGGTAGCTGGGGTAGCAAAGAATGAGGAAGCCACAAACTACTATTCTGGGATCAGAGCATCTGTCTTAGTCCATGGTCACTGGTCCCTTTCGTGTTTGGACGAAGTTCATTATTCTTCTGGAGCTGAGCGCCTCCTGGTCAGGAATGGTCTGTTCTAAAAGTAGAATTTAGGCCAGGCTAGTTAATTAGGGTTGTTGGTATTATCCTAAGACTAAGAGGCTGTGGGGAAGGGTCAGAACTCACGGGAACATGTCCTTTCGACTTCATTTCAGATTAGTCTACTGTGTGTGTAGTTACATGTATACACACATAGCTATAAATAAGTAAGTACATACATTCCAACACATGTACCTGTGTGTACTACCCTGGGATGGGTTTCTGTTGCAAAAGTCACCTCCTGCTTATTGAATTGAACAGAGAAAATTTTTTGTGGGGGGGTCAATAAAATATTCCCATTAGAATATGCAAATTAAAGTTCATAAGGGGTCTGATTGCCAAGGGAAGCTGCAGAAGTGGGATGTTTGGGGCTGGCTAGATTGGGCTTCGGCTCCTGGCTCCTGGTATCCTTACCCGCTGGCTGGGCTTCTTCTTTTTTATTTCATTTTATTTTTTGTTACCAGGGTGGCTGGGTTTCTAAAAAAGTGATGTAACCTCTCCAGGTTGTAGTTTTATCCTGTATAAAACACCAAAACTGTCAAATAAATCATGGCAACTGTAAAAATTAATTGCACTGAGGCAGGCCAATCTCTTTGCTGTTTGCCCACACAGAGTAGAGATCAATAAATTGTACATGTAACAGATAATGGAAAGGGGTGATGGGTTAGTACTGTGACTTATTCCTCCCTGTTTGTATTAGAACAAGTCTAGGCAGATGCTGTGCTTTCACAGATAACTTTTGTTTTCTTTTTAAAAATCTGTTATTCTTGTTTTGTTGACTTCTTTTGAAAGTTTGTTTATAATGACTGATCTCTATATATTCTTCAATTCTATCATTGTTAGATATTTAAAATTCAACATATAAAGATATTGGGATTTGTTTATTCCATCTCCTCACTCTTTGCTTCTAAAATCTGAAATCACTTTTTCTTAATTGTATTTTTTTGATACTGGGGATTGAACTCAGGACCTTGCACTTGTGACGCAGGCAGTGGCACCACTGAACTAAATCCCTAGCTGTGAAATCACTTTAAATTTAAATACTTCATTAATTATAACCTTGATTCTCTTCAGACAGTTGAAAATTTAAGATAATGTTGCTGGTCTTTGGTGTTCAACAAGTAGAGTATTACATTGATCTTTTAGTATCGTCCTATAATATTTCCTTCAAGTTCCAAAATCACAGCAATATTTCTTCTTCTGAGGTCATTGAGTTGCTTTGTTATGTTTATGTATCTTCATGGCATTGCCACCGGTCACTGATAACACAGGTCTTTTATGCTTTCAGGAAAATGGTGTATATACAATAGCAAAATTAATTTTACCAAATAAACAGAAGAATGCAGCAAAAACCCATCTACTCCAGGTAATAAGGCATGTCTCTTATTCTTTAGTATCAAATTACCAAAGTCTTGGTACTTAGGTGCACATAGGGCAAATAATCTGTGATGTTTAGCATTTTTAAGATTAATGCTGGTCTCCATGTGGTGGTGAGGGACACGCATCTGGTGCCAGAGGCTGGTGTGGAAACCAGTGATATTAAAACAGTATTAAGAGCTTTACTAGCGCTTTCTCTGTGTGGTAGAATTAAGTGTATTTATTTAGGTGTTTCTTTCCTCACCAGTAAGTTCTAGTTTTATCTTATTTAATTTATTTTTGTGTGTGTGGTGCTGGGGATTGAACCCAGGGCCTCACACATGCGAGGCAAGTGCTCTACCATTGAGTGACATCCTGGCCTTAAAAAATTTTTTTTATTATAAGTCAGAATCTCACTAAGTTGCCCCAAATGACCTCACATTTGTGATCCTCCTGCCTCAGCCTCTCGAGTAGCTGGGATTATAGGCATGTGCCACCATGCCTGGCTGCATTGTTCTATTTTTAACAAATATGCATTACGTATGAATCAGAGTATAGCAACAGAGAAAAATTACTGATCATCTTGAAACATTTGGGTTGTAAAAAGGAAAGCCTGCGAGAAGGATCCTGAAGGGTGAGAACGGACTTGCCAAGGAGATAAAGAATGATCAGCGGTAGAGCACCAAGGGCATCTGCTGCAGGGTGGGAGGGCAGCGCATGGAGGGGCAACAGCAGGAGCCGAGCATGACAGCAGAGGACCGAGATGTGGGGAGGCGGGTTCCCGAGTGAGCAGGGCAGAGCGCCTCAGGAGATGTGGCCTCTAAGAAGGGACAGTTTATGCAGGGTCCTGTGCTTTTTCTGAACAGTGGTATCTGGGGCCAGTGTCCGCAAAGGCACTGTAATGACAAAGCCATATTCAAAGTAGGCCTTTGCAGGAGTTGGAGCTCATCCTTTCAGCTAATGTGGGAGAGAAAGTACATCGACCTCAATGACAAATGTTTGAGGAGATGGTTCTGTGTAACCCGGTTTGAACATTACCACAGTGTGTACCTATGTGGGAACTTCACATGCTGCCCCGTACACATGTATCATCTTTATGTTTGTGTATCAGTTAAAAAGTAAAAATATTTCTCTGGAGAGCTCTGATCCGCCTCCTCCAGAATGGTGGCCACACCTGGCAGAGACTTGTTGGCGTCTGTGCCTAGCAGGCAGGAGTCACTAAAGTGCTGCCAAGCACAAAGGGTGTGGGGCTTGATTCTTTAGTGCATCACAGATGTGTCAGAGGATCTTGGAAAAGATATTAAGTCAGATACATGCTGCAAATGCATTTTGTGAAGCAGAGAGGATTCCTGTATTGCAGTAGGAGGCCAGGTGTGGTGGCACACGCCTGTAATCCCAGCTATTCAGGATGGGAGGATTGCAAATTAGAGGCCAGGCTGGGCGATTTAGAAAGATGCTGTCTCAGAATGAAAAGGTTGGGGTTGTAGCTCTGTATTCCCTGGGTTCCATCCCAGGTGTGGTGTGGGCAGCCTCACTCCTTCCAGTGGAGCAACTGCAAGCTGGGGGCTCTTTCTTTCTTAGTCTTGCAAAATATCAGATGTTTATTTTTCTTAGTTAAAGCCTCACAGGTCTCTTTCTGAGAGTTCTCAGGAGTTAACTGTTGATTGTTCTATTTGGGGAATGCTTAAGACTCTTTACTCAAGAGACCAATTTGTCAGGCTTGAGTCCGCTGTGCCTGTGGCTATTTTTATATGTCATCGTTTCTAGTGTTTATTTTCTCACAGAAACTATATAAATATTGAGGCGTACATAGCAGGCTAGAAATAAAATAAATCTTGAGCTCCGGAAATCTTTGGATGTTTGGTTTTCTCAGCATAGGAATTTTACTTCTTGTCTCTGTGCTCATTTTGTACTTTCTAGAAAGGAATTAATGGCAAGTGCTGGGGAAAACAAGGCCAAGATCCCCAGCACTCTACAACAACACTTTAAATGAGAAGTACCCCAGGTGCGGGCGGTTTTGTTTTCACTTATAAACTTGGGCTCCAAATTAGGCCAGCCACTCACAGTAAAGAAACTTTAATACCTACTTTGTGATAATTCCGTCCTGAGAATGTTTTAATTTGTTGAGTTACCCTTGAAGAATCACATTTCCTTTTATTTCCTAGTGTTACGCTTTCAGAGCCCTGAGGTTTCTCTTCAGTATGGAAAGAAACAGACCACTCTTTAAAAGGTATGAGCTTGGAGAAATGTATACGACCATCCAGTCTGAGACCAGCAATTTGCACACAGCTGATTTCATTGCAGCAGGAGAAGAATGCACAAGCCACGTGTCTTAGGTTTCTTAGGCTGCACAGATATAACTGAGCTCCTGTAGCAAAAGTGAAAATTAACAAAAATGGTAATGAAAGAGCAGAAATCACTATCGGTACAACACTTCTGAATTGCATGTGACTATCATGATTCTAGTGCATTTTAAAGACGTTAACATCTTAAATAGATGGCGTCAAAACATGCTCTGTGCTTGTTTCCGTCCACTTAGAAATTCCAAAGCCAAGTCTGGTAGTTTCCCGCATCAACAGAGAACAAAAGTATTTGTCAGGATAAGCGTAACAGGAGGGTAGGAGCTCTTTGGAAGGGGCGGAGCCTGCCCAGGGTCAGAAAATTGTGCTGGTAATTGTGACCAAAACACCACCAATGCACACATTATTGCATCTGGGTGTGTTCTGCATACCTTTTAGCTGGGTGGGTGAGCCAGAAGCACAGGGCCACACCCTCACTAGAATTTAATTGATAAAGGCTTGAGTTAGTGTCCAATTGTTCAGAAAGCACATTTTATGTTGTTACTTCATTTCCCTATGTTATTTGAATTTAGGGAAAAAGTAAGAATGACCAACAGTTCCCAAGTTGTAAGTTAAGCGAATGTGTGTGTTTTCCCCATAGACTTTTCCCCACAGACTTGTTTGAGATCTTCATTGACATAGGACATTATGTTCGTGATATCAGGGCCTATGAAGAGCTGGTATCCAAGTTGAACTTACTGGTGGTAAGTCCTGCATTTTAAATATGATGGCAGGCTGCTATGAGCCAAGAGAGAGTTAGGCACAGCAACTCATTTTACTTTTATTTTTTGGTTAGGAGGATGAACTGAAACAAATTGCTGAAAATATTGAAAGCATTAATCAGAATAAAGCTCCTTCGAAATATATAGGCAACTATGCAATTTTGGACCACCTGGGGAGTGGAGCTTTTGGCTGTGTTTACAAGGTGATTTTACTCTCGGGGCCCAACATTTCTGATATTCTCAAGCAAAGCACATCACACTGTCAAACTTATATTCGAGTCACTTGGAGTCGTGGTCATTGAAGAAAGACATTTAAAATTAGAGTGTTTTTGTCCAACAGACAGAGACAGCTGCAACGATGTTGTCTTAGCTCTCAGCTCTAGTAATGGGCAAGTGACATTTTCAGGGAAAAGACATCATTTCTCACCAGAAGTCATCAAAATAACTTGTCTGATATGTGACACATTCTTTCTCTGAACTTCTACCAGTGTTTCTGTATTTACACAGTGTAACCCTACTTATTATGCAGGCTGGACAGAAGACACTGAACTTTGGAGCTGAGGTTAAAGTCAATTCAGCTAGAGTTTTATATGCTCTGTGACTTACTTAGATGACTCAGTTAAACGTGTGACTTTGTTGATCTATTCCTCTCTTACCCTTTCAACTTTCATCTCACTGGGTTTTGTTTTGTTTTGTTTTGTTTCCTTATTTTAGGTTAGAAAATGTAGTGGTCAAAATCTTTTAGCAATGAAAGAAGTCAATTTACATAACCCGGCATTTGGAAAGGATAAAAAAGATCGAGACAGCAGTGTGAAGAATATTGTTTCTGAATTAACGATAATTAAAGAGCAGGTAAGCGTTTTTCATGTTTCTGAAGATGTTTTCTTAAATTTATGGCAGTGAAACAGAGCTCTTGCACTAGTCTAACCGTGCTGTGTGTGGATTGGTTCTGTGGGGAATAATAGACCACGGCAGTGAGTGGTATTTTCACCAGGTTTTTTCCTGAGGTCTGGGGTTGAACCACAGAAATACTTTCTGGAGTTTATATTAAGGCCATGGAAGCAAAACAACTGGACTTATGCTGTAGAGCAGGTCACACTTAAGCAATCCTTCTCTGAACCCAGCCGTCCCCTGCTCACCATAAAGTGGTTACCTAGTTACACGTGTAGGAACACGACTAAGAGTTTCCTGACTCTTGTCAAGTGGAACCAAGCTGTTGATATTTTTGGATTGTGGCTTATTGAGTCTAAAAAATGTCAAATTTCAAGATAGGTTAATATTTATTGACATGAGAGAATATTCTGACATAATATAATAATAGCTCAATTAACTATTATTATGAAGGTTCGTTTGGGAAGAGAAAATGGATGTGTCAAAGCGGAATGAGATTTGTTTTTGAGATCCAAGAACACTGGCTTTTTTTTCCAGCCTTCCTTACACGTGCACTTATTCCAGACACTGTTCCTTTGTAACTCCCATGGACAGCCTGTGCTCTGCTCTCTGCTAGTCACGTGTACGTGGAATCTGTGCTGGGACACAAAAGTGTACCATCAATGTGGAGTTTAGTCACAGAGATGCACTGTTCTACTTCAGTTTATAGATCACAGCGATTGTATCATTAACAGCTTACTTTACAGTGACGTTTTATATACTAATATAGTAAATTAGATTTTTTTTCAGTCCCAGGGATTGAACCCACTGAGCTGCATCCCCAGTCTTTTTTTTTTTTTTTCAGTTTGGGATAAGTCGCCAAGGTAGGGCTTGAACTTGAGTCACTGCTGTTGCCTCAGCCTCTCAGAGTATGGAGTTACACTCACTCACACCACTATATCTGACTAGATTAAACTTTTTTTAAAAGCGAGTGTTTGCTCATGTTTAGGATAACCTAGTGTTTCTCAATGAGCTGTTCCATTATAGCACAAGGTAGTACATGTTTTTGACCTATACTGATCCAGTGTTTTCATTGGGATCCAAATCTAGATATAACCCTTGCTAGGCCCCGAATGTGGTTCCGGTTGTTAACTTGGTCCTGTTTTATTTAAAAGCTGCTGGTGATGAGGTAGATAATTTGTTTTTCCTCATTTCCTCAGCAAAGAAAATGTCCTGAGGGACTAGTTAAAAGGCATCATTTTAGACGTTGCCATCACTCAAACCTGTGTGGTTGGTTTCACTAGAGGATCAGTCAGTGCAAAGGATAAAAGTACCGACAGAAAGAAGCAGCAGAAATGAAAGAGTATATTTTTGAAGATGAAGCCTAACAGGCTGGGGAACACAGAGGCTTGAAGAAGACGCCTCACCATAGTTACTTCTGTTTCGTGTGACAGTCCCAAAGTGGGTGCCCCAAGGGGTCGGTGTCCTCTGTTCCCTGCAGCCAGTCGTCCAGGGGACTCTGTCACCTCCCGGATGTTGTCACCACTGGGTCGGAGGCGCCCCATGGGCAGGTCCACCTGTGTGGTGGGAAGAGGGGCGGCGTGAGTGCCAGCCACTGCCGGCGTAAGGGGGCTTCCCTCGGGCTCACTCCCGGCTGCAGAGGAGGCCGAGACGTGACCGACCTCTGCCTGGGAAGCCACGTCCAGTTACGACTCCATGGCAGTGAAGACGGACGGCTCGCAGTCCGCTCCTCAGAGGAGCACGCAGAAAGACCGGGAAGAGATGGAGGCCATTTATAAACGAAATGGCCATTTTACTGAAATAAGACGAATTTCAGTTTATCTCGAAACTCAAATTATAAATAAACAACTTCAGACATTTTAGCATTCTTATAGAAAATAAGCTTCTTTAAATTTGTTTTTAAAGTAGAACTTCGGTTCACATCCTTAAGCAAAGTTATGTAAAGGAGAACTTTTATCATGTACTTTTAAAAACTGATAAGGTGGAATAGGAAGAAAAGGGCTAAAGGCATAGGGGAAGTGGGAAGGGTAGAGGAAAGGTAATAAGGGAAAAGAAAAAAAATGAGAACAGGAAAAAATGGAAACAAAGTGTTTGTAAGTAGGGGAGGGTAGACGGGGTGAAGGGAGGGCAGGGGTAAGGGGAAAAAATGAGAACCAAGACCTGTCATGTAAAGGTACAAGATCCCAATGATGAATGCAACTGTTCTGTATACCTAAAATGTACCAATAAACTCCATAAATTTTTTTTTGTATTTTTTTCAGCTTTAATTGAGTTTACTGGTATATTTTAGGGATATAGTACAGTTACATCCATAAGATTTTTTTAAAATGTCAAGGAAAGCCAGGGATTTGGCTCAGTGGTTCCTCTGCCTGCCTCGCAAGCTCAAGAAGCTTGCTCAAGCTCATGCTCGGGTTCGAGCCCCAGTACAAAACAAAACAAAACAAAACAACAACAAAAAGAATTCGAAAAATGTCATGGAAGCCTGTATTTACAGCTACTACAATGGGTGGTAAAGGATTATGATGGAGACAGATTGAATCTAAGCGTAAACTCTGCAAGGAGCACGGGAGTTTATAGGTCATTGGTCGGGGAGAGGGCCAGGGGATGGTGAATTACAAGAGGGGCTTAGATATCAAGAATGAGGTAGTACTTGATTGGGCATCAGGTATGGGAGATTCCTGATAAACCAGCCTAACAGGGTTCTGTGTGGGCCAAGCATGAGGGCTACTCAGGAGGAGGAGTCACCAGAGGCAAGTAAGTATGGCAAGGGGCAGATCTTGTCAACTAGTGCTAGGATTTAATCGTAGCTCTTAGATATTTCCATTTCATATTAATCACTGTGTAGAACATAGAAATAGTGTAGACACAAGCTATATACATAATATATATATAGAGAGATATTTATAGATCTATACAGCTATATCTATATAGAAAGAGGAAAAAAGCAAACTATCTATATAAATATAGATGAACACAAATTACTTCATTTTGTTGTGTTTTTTCCTTTAGTCTGTGTGGTATTGGAAGGTGCTATGTGAATTTTGAAGGTTCTATTTAGTTCTATAATTCTATTTTAGTTGAGTAATAAAGCAATTTTTAATTTTGTCTCAAAAAGTTATATAGGTGATTGCTATTTTCTGTTGAAAGTCATAAGCAACAGATTTTTAAAAAACTTATAAAAATCTCAGATGATGTCTTGCAGTGCTTAGTGTTTTAGATGTAATTTGTGAAGTAAAGGTCTATGAAATAAGTGTGTTTTGAAGTAGATAATAAATGTCTGTGATTTCTTTTCTTGTAGCTTTATCATCCCAATATTGTACGTTATTATAAAACATTTCTGGAAAGTAAGTATGATTTTCTGTGGTGGTTTTCTAATTAAGGAAAAAATCTTTGTAACTTAAGTATTTTCATACTGGAATGTCACAGCTCAACTATTTTCCTTAATTTTTGTTAGTAACACAGCAGTGGATGATTTCAAGCATCATTTTCCTTTTTTTTTTTTGAGACAGGGTCTCACTAAATGGTTGAGACTGACCTGGAACTTACTATATAGCCCAGGCTGGTCTTGAACTCATGGTGATCCTCCTGCCTCAGCCTTCCGAGTGCTGGGATTACAGGCCTGTGCCACCACGCCCAGCTCATCATTTTCTTGACATATCAAATAATAATACAATTGGCCTAAAGACAGTTATAATTTAAATCCTGGTAATGAAGGCACTTCAGTGACAAACCAAAATAATTATTATTGCTATTTTAAATAACAAAAATCAATTAATAGGAGATAAGATTAAAAGGTGATGGTTTCTTTATGAAAAGTTTTATAGTTTGTATTGAATTAGACATTTTTTCCACCACCAGAATAAATTGAAGGTGAATTTGGGTGGTTTTGCATGAAGTTCATATTAATGCCACCAGGTGGCGATAGAGCCTAGGTTTATTCTCAGACACGTGTTCTGCAAGTATGGTGAAATATGGAGACAAAATGTTGAGACAAAGCCACACTTAAAAAAAATAGGACTGTGGATGGAAATAATGTATTAATGAAACTTAATGATCTGTGACACACATGAAATTTCAAATCTCCATTCGAAGGAATAAAGGGCAACAATTTTTGGACTTGCTAATTACCTTTTTATCAGCACTACCGCTATTTAAGAAAACCTCTTGTGCGCCCTGGCTTTTGTTACAGTCTTACCCGTCTTCCTTACCATGTGTGACTCAGAGCTCAGAGCTGAAACTCCCGCAGTAAATCCTGCCCCCTTAGTCATAGTCCTGACCCTGGAATAATTCCCTAGATTTTGTGCATATCCGCTCAAGTAAGAGATCAGTGTTGGCTTCTGACTTGTACTGAGGTGATACCCTTCTTCTGATAACAGAGTAAAACCATTTAGCAACCTGGAAGCCTCCAAAATGAATGGAAGGTAAATTAAAATAAGTAAAATATGATGTAATAAATTAGAAAATTGCAATACAGGGGAATATAAGGTCAGACGTTTAAAAAGTAGTGCTAGACATAAGATTAGAAATATAGTAAATGTTTCTTAGAATTATGAAAAAATTAAAACAATATATTACCTATGTGTAGAAGAATGATGGAAGAAATTATGATTTAACCTTATTGCACAATGTGGGAACCAACATTACAAACAGTGTGCCCCTGGGTATATTGAAATATAAGACTGTAATGGAAACAAGTGTACATTGCAGGACATGCAGAGTATAATTCCACTTTTGTTAGCATTGTGTACATATATATATTATAGACATCCAAAGCTTTAAAAGGCACTTAAAACATCTATTGCCAGTAGTTTCATATTGGTTCTAATGGAAGAAGTGGAATTTACTTGTTTCCTGACACCCAAAGCAAAGAGACAGACACAAAGCAGTCAAGGAGATTCACAGTATCTGTAAGATGAACCCAAGAGAAGACCAGCTGTCTTTGCTCTTGAGGGAACAGCAAAAATTATGGAAAGTATTCTCCGCTGTTTCACTGCAAGACCCTGGCATGAGTTCGTCTAGATTTCTGTGAAAAGAGTCTCTAGGAGGCCACAAAAAGTGTTGATTGAAATGCAAGTTTTCTGAAGGTCTGATTTGATCTAAATTTTAGACTATGACTAGGAAAGGTGTGTTTATATGTACTTCCAGCCCCCAGGACTGGAACTGTTTGTTTATGCCTTTGGACATCTGCCAGTTAGCCCACATCCTGGTGTCCATGGAAAATGAAAATATTACCAGTGTAAACTTGTACTAGGGCTTTGCCTGTAGCAAGGACAGATTGTTACTGGTCTTCGGTGGTCCTGAAAGCCCTGCTGCAGTGCTGCAGGGGCCCCCATTTTCCTTGATCTTGAATTCTTTTTCTTTGCTGTGCATTGGCAATACATAATAATTACATCCACTTTACATCTTTTATGTCATTTCTTAATGTTGTGCTCTGTGTATCCTTTCAGAAGCTCAGATTCTAATTTTAAGTTTTTTTTCAAGATGCTATATTTAATTAAAATTTCTATGACCCATTTTATATTTCTCTATAGATGATAGGTTGTATATAGTTATGGAACTTATAGAAGGAGCACCACTCGGAGAGCATTTCAGTTCTTTGAAGGAAAAACAGCACCATTTTACTGAAGAAAGACTGTGGAAAATATTTATACAGGTATGTCTTTTTCTTTATTCAATTTTCATAGTACAGTAAAGTTCTGACCTGATTTCTTAGAGGCACATAGTAGTCATCTTTGTTTGTATGCTGACTGGGGAAATAAACTGTTTCTTTTTCTTTTTTTTGCGGGGGGGCGGTACTGGGGATTGAACTCAGGTCCTTGCACTTGCAAGGCAGGCCACAGAACTGCCCTGGCCCTAATAACTGTTTCCTATTCTTATTTCAAGTTGTGCTTAGCTCTGCGGTACTTACACAAGGAAAAGAGGATAGTCCACAGAGACCTGACACCAAACAACATCATGTTGGGTGACAAGGACAAGGTCACCATTAGTAAGTAGAACCTCTGAAGTTTTTACTAAGGGATTTCTGAGAGTGAGTCCAGAGTAGATTATTCTTTCAGAGCAGTGGTATCCAATAGAGTTTTGCGCATGGATGGAACTGTTTTATTTTGCTGTCCATTGTAGAGCCATTGGTCACACATGACTGTTGGGCACTTAGAAGGTGGCTATTGTGACTGATGACACAAATTCTAAATTTTATTACATTTTAATTATTCATTCAGGTGTGAGTTGTGGCTGACATTTGGGTTAGTGACAGTTATACTTCTAAAGGACTGAGTTGTATTTTGCTCATAGGAGGGAATTACGCCCTCTAAGGTCTTTTTCTTTCTTTAGAGCAATGCTTCTTCAACAGAGCTTTTCATGACCACCATGTGAACGCACTGGTTTGAGCCTTATTAGCATCGTCTTTGTCTTAAGAACATATCAAGAGCCATAAGATATTCTGCCATTGGTCTATTCCAACATATATTTTTATCATACTATTTTCCCTTGTAACAAATAGGCCTAATGTTGGATAAAATTTTATAAATTAGTGGGTTTCTCTTTACTCTCATATTGGTCTAATTGTCGATCACGACTTAAAGTTACTTTTTTAGCCTTGACTGGTATATTAACTTCCTTGTGTCGCTCTCCTGGAGTATTAATGGTTCATGAAGTACAGGTAAGGAGACACCTCCTGAATCTTTGGTCTCCACCTAGTTTTGATGGTGACATCCACTCAGTAAAGTTTTTCTTTTTTTTAGCATATACTACCAATGTATGTTGGCTTCTTTGTAAATTCTATGCATATATTGTTATACCAAGATTCTGTAGTGTATAACAAAGTCTACAGGATAAAATACAAAAAGATGAATTTAAAAGTACAAATAAAGGTTTTAATCCCAGCCCTTGCAGTGGATTGGTGCGGGCGCCCGGCTTGGGGACCACTGCCTCTCAGTTTTTACTGATGTGAGATATATACACGACAACGTCTAAAGCTGGTTCCTCTACAGACCTCTAGAAGAAGCTAATTTTCACAGAGATAATTTCAAATATGTGTATCTACTGGGACCACATGTCTTCATGAACAACAAAAAATGTTTAAAATTATTTTTGCTTTTCATAGATTTTATTTCCATTGGACAGTTTTATTTAATGTTGCTTCCTATCTACCATCCTGCCAACATGGTGCACAGGCACTGTTCTGGAATTTTCCTGCGCTCCTTTTCTGATTGGTGTCTGTGTCTTACATCCTACCCCATTTAACTGAAATATGTCTCCCAATGCTTTCCTGAGAATAACTGCTTTGAGAGTCATATTTTTGGATGCTTCTCACCACGGAGTATTTTTATGATGCCCTCATCCTTGATCCTCATTCTAAGTTTTGAAGGCATTCCTTCAGTGTCCTGGTATCCAGTTTTACTGTGAGGAAATCCAGTGCTATTCTAGTTCTATTCATGCTTGATGCACGCATTGTTTTATCTCTCCAGAAACCATTAGGATGTTCTCTTTATCCACTGTTTCAGATGGGTCCTTTTATTTAATGTTTCTGAAACTAGGAGTCCTCATCAATTGCGAGTCTTAAAATTTCAATCCTGGGAACTTCTCCTGTATTCTTTTCTACTTTTCTCCTGGCTGCTTTCTTTGTTTCACTCTCTAGAATTCTTATTAGTCTTATCTATAATTTATACGAAGTAATTTCCTAACTTAAAAAGTAATCATCTTAGTTTGTATCTCTTTGTTGTACCTAGTGTTGTTTCTTCAACCTTATTTTCTAGTCATTGAATATTTAAATTTTTAAATCAACTTTTTACTCTCTAAACATCCCTTCTTGTTCTATGTTCCATTTCCATGGAATCCCACTTTTATTCCGTCTTAGAATAATATAGACCTGTTTGTTTTCCCCTACAGAACCTGAATTGCTTCTTTATTTTCTGAGTCCATTTCTTTTTATATCCTCTTTTTCTTTGATGTCTTTTTCCCATTGAAAGCTTTCCTTACCTGTCCATGACGACAAGTAAGGATTGAGAAATGTTGGAAGCCCTGTGAGTTCCAGTTAAGGCCGTCCTCGGGTAGATTTCGTTGCAGCCTAATGCGGACCTTTCCTCTGAGGGTCCTCAAGGTGGAGCCTAACCGTCTTGGCAGAGAACGCTCTTCTAGTACCTTGCCTGATGCCATTCTAGGACCACTGTCCACCACGGCAGCCCGGGAAGCTACATCCCACTTAAGATTTCCCGTGAATTCGGGCCTGTGCTGCGGGTTATTGGGAAAGAAGTGTTTTCCGTAGGTGGCAGAAGGTACTCGGTTTCCTGGCCACGTGGTGTGGGAAGGGACTGTGGACTACACCTCAATTCTATGGTCTGAGTCTTTTGCCTTCCTCTTCCCTGTGGGGCACCCCGGGCTCTCTCAGGCCTCCCCATTCTCAGACACAGGGTCCAGGGGAGGGGACTCTCCCCCACAGACCCTGTCACACTCTCCACCGGACTCATAGGAATTTATTAACCCCTCTTGTTACCAAGACCACTCCTGTCATTCCTCTGGATAAGAGCACTTCAGAGAAAACCTCTACTTTAGTAAGTCTGTGAGAATTAAAGAAGATGAACGAACACATACGATTAACCCACCATTTAACCCTAAATGGGCAGGCTAGCTACATTGTTAACTCTACATATGAGGCTTAAGAAAGCATCCCATTTTTTAACTTGACTATTCAACTTAAAAAATACAGATTTCTGCTTGCATTCAGGTTGTGTGGGCTCCCTAGAAAAAGATACTTTGTTTTACAAGAATAAGAAAACTTTTATTTTGCTTTTCTCTTCCTTGCTCCTCATTGCCATTATGCTCATTCTTTGGAAAATATTTGTCAGGCTTCTATTTAGGAGTTATTCAATTAAAAAAGAACTATTTTCAATTTTCAGGGATTTTTAGTTTTAAGTGGAGCAATATTTTCCCATTTCAAATGGGGAGGCAGAGATAAATCTCAGGACAGAGTTTTATTCTAGTCCAGCTTTTCTCTAGTAAGGCAATTGCTTCACCTGGGCATTGATGTGCCACCATTATTTCCAGTGAGTATAAAACCATTTTTTTTTTTTTTTACTAAAAGGATAATTTACAGAAATTTGCTGTCTTTTATTTAAAGCTACTATAAATATAATAGTGTTGAAATATTTTTCATTGTCTATTGATACTGATAAAAATAAAGCCTTTAGACTCTTATTTTCAAGAGGGTTCGTGGTTTAAGTGAAATCGTACTGCATTAATTTGAAGCTAGGTGTACAAAATCCCCACATTCTGGGAGGCCGGTCATTCAGGGAGCCTGTGGACTCCCGCCAGCTGCTGTGGTGCATTTCGCCACAAGGGGGCAGCCTTATCATGTTTTATTTTTCTCTGTTCTTGTGCTAGATTTATTACTGACTTCCAGAAAATAGGCACAGAATTGCCAAATGATGCAGGGGACAAACTGTATTGAAAATGTGACTAGAAATGAAAGCTTTAAGAAAACTAAGATTTCCTTCTCAATTTTCCCAATGTAGGTGAACTAAATGTTTTAAGAGTACAGCTGATTTGCAATTACTTATAGTAAGTATGTTGGCTGGAGTCTGTGTCGTGAGGAAGCGCAGCAGAAAGTGCTAACATATTCAGGATGTGTGGTTTTATGAATGTGACCTACTTTTAATGTCTAATACATTTCCCCTCGAAAGACCGAATCTTGTTATGATGTGTGCTGTGATGCATGTTCAGGTCTTGCTCCTGCATTTATCTGCAGTTTTTGGGGCTGCACACAGGAACAGGCCCTGGCTCGGGGAGACCCTGGGAAGGTCACCCTGTCAAGCGACATCCACATTGTGCCGTCACGTCACAGAGTGTCCCTGGGGAGGCCTGGCGGAAATGAGCTGTCAGTGTACCGTTCCACACTTCCTGGCCTCTCCAAATACCCACATTTTACCGTAATTCCTTCATGTCCCCTTGTGTGCTTTGCTCCCCCACAAGAGACAGAGAAAGAAAAAGAAAGCCCCAAATTCCGTCATAGTAAATAGTTTCGGGCATGGGCTTTAGTACATGATTCACTAGGTCATGTATTCCTCCTGTGAGTGAATCAGTGGGGTGTGCTTTTGTGTCTCAAAATGATATCTTGCTGCTTCTGGTGGTCACAGCAGCGAGGATGTACTTCATTCACCAAAACAGTTGCCAAAGACTGGAATGTGCTCGTTCATGTCATATTTGCCAGGGAGTGCAGGACTGGATAGGAGATGAAAGGCTAAGGTTTCTGCCCCCTGAAAGGAGTCTTATGGAGACGTTCAGTTATTTACTCAGCAATTGCTTCATGAGTTACCACATCCTGCAGTAAGCAAGGCAAGCACGCAAGACATGGCCCCACCTTACAATATGTAAGGGTTGAATGTGCGTACAAAATACTATTAGTCAGGATGGGCCATGTTACACTGTGCTAACGGTGCATGACCCGAAGGTCTCAGCAGGCTTTGGGATGAATCCAGGAATGGCCTGTTCTTATATGACTTGGAGCTAAGAATGATGTTTATGCTTTACAAGGGAGAAGAAGACTGTGACAAAACCCATATGTGGCCCCCAAAGCCTAAAATGCTTACTATCTGGCCTTCTCCAGAAAACATTTGTCCACCCCCAACTTAACAAGGTGTCCACGCTGCGGGAGTGGCATGTCCGCTGCGTGCCAGTGTGGAGCTGAGCTCACAGACCTAGGTGGGCTCAAGCTGCCCCTGCAGCGGCTTCCAAGTTGCAGAAGCAGAAAGGAGAGAACACAACCAGCCATTTAGGAGCCTTTGCTCCTACGTCTTCTGCACCAAAGTACCACACGTTAATTCTGCTCAGGATTAAGGGTTAAGGAAAGTCAGATTTAACAGTTTAAGGATGCATTCCTCCTCCAAGAGAATATGGGTGGACAGTTAACATGGTCTATCCCAGGACCAGGAAAGCAGGAAAGGTGAAAGCAGGTGAGGCAAGGGCACAGCTAGCATAAAGGATTGCAGACAA